TGCCTTTGATCTGAAAGTTCTTGGGAGAGACTGTTTGAATAATTTATCTGTCATCCAGTTACAACAGCAAACTTCATTGAACTTAGCACTTCCACATTATACCAATGAGAATCTCTCCAACACACACTTGCGTGTGCACAAGCACAATCCATTTCCTGGGAACCTTTGTGGTTATCAATAACGTCTTCGCTTCTGGACACATAGCCACATAGTACCAAAGAACCATGTTATGGAGTAAGCAACCCATAGGTGGACTTATTAGCAGAATAAACCTGTATTTCTCTGCTCACACGCCCCAGGAGCTACTGTTTTCGAGCTGAAATCTGATAGTGGCCCCTGTCCTACTTTTTTATTGTTGACACTTTTCTTTATTCCCTCATCTCTTATTTGCTTTCTTGCCAAGAATTTGCTTTTTGTTTGCCGGCTTCTTGAGATCTTAAGTGAGAGTTTTTAAATGCTTCTTTCTTGGCAAATATGCAGAATTTTTACTTATCAGGCCCAAGAAACCCGTTAGCCACAAATCATAAAATTTTAGTCATTTTTGGCCTCTGACTTTTTGCGAAGATATCAAAGCGTTCATTTTCCTCAAATATTTAACTCTTCCTTTATCATCATTCTCTATGCAGGAGGCCTGTCTCCTGTATCTGCTCTATATCTACTTCTATATCTAATTTCAAATTATGAATTTTTTCCAGGTAAGAACATTTAGGAATCCTCTATTTATTTTCCATTGTGATAACTTAGTCCAATGACTGACTAAACAGAGAAAAGGATAAACTGCAATAGTCATGAGTGGATGTGCTGATCCCTTAACCTTCCCCTGGGAGTGCAAACCCACCCATGGCTGCCATGGGCTTACCAGAACATCTGAGATCAAGAAGATCACGTGATTTTACCTGTCACAGTGCATGCCTCAGTTAGGACTCTGCTTTTCAAATAATACAAGCTCACCTCAAACTCTAAATAGCAAAGTTATTGATGAAAACACTGGGATGTCAGAGACCAAGGGTGGGATTGTGGTTGAGCTTCAGGCTCAGCTGGGATTGGACTCAGTTGACATCAGGATTTTAACTGCTTCTCTCCACCTTTGGGTGTGTCTGGATGATTCATTCTCTCAAAACTCAGCTCCTGGGAACCAGCAGTTAGCATAATGGCTATGTCGCTGGACTCCCACATAGTCGACCACAGTTCATGTCCTGGACCCGGTGGCTTAAAACTCAGGCCGGGCGTGTGTGCATGCATGCCCAAGATCCCGAGAGGAGAATGGAGAAGTGATTGTGGCATGGCCATCCCCCCTGGGGGGTGATTTTTGCTTTCTGTCTGTCTGTCTCTCTCTGTTTCTTGGTCAGAGCATGCGCCCTATAGCGAAAACCTCTCCAAAAAAAAAAAAAAACCCTCAGCTCCTTCTTCTTCTTGGTGTGCTTAACCATCATGATCTTCATTTAATAAGGTGAAGGCATCCAAAATAAGCTAATTCTCATTTTTTTTTCCTTCTAAAATTCCTGAAGGGGATATTTTTATTAACCTACATTGGGTTCTATGCCCACCTGTGGACAAATAAATGAGAACCGGGAGATAGGATTATCATACAACCATAGCAGCTCTCCCAGTAGTCCCATGAATAAAGATTGGGAAGGCCAGCGTTTAGAAAGGGATATTGAGTAAAAATTTCTATTGATCTTCATTATAGTAATTGTTGCTTTACCTAGTATAAAACAGTGTCTACCTCTATGTGTTGTAGATATAACCAAGGTGTATTATCAGTCATATTTTATCTTCTTCCCTAGACCTGGTTAATATAACTCTTTACTTACCATCTCACACACGCACACACACACACACACACACACACACGTGCGCGCACGCACACATGTGTAGTGGGCAAAGAATTCATTCCCATATACAGGTTAGAGAATGTGTCTCAAGAAATTACTAGCTGTACTGGCCCTGTGGCCTATAGTTGAAGAACCAGATACCTCAGAGCTGACCACATAATTTCAATTCAGGCCCTGGTGGCTTGAAAAATACCAGTGTGTGTGTGTGTGTGTGTGTGTGTGTGTGTGTGTGCTGTACATCCCAACAGTATGGAGAAATGGAGAAAAAAATTGGCTTGGCCATGCCCCATTGTGTGTGGGGGGTACTTTTTCACTTTCTCTCTCTCTCTTTCTCTGGCAAGTACATGCACCCATTGACAAATAAATGAAAAGAGGAAAAGAAAGAAAAAGAAAAATTAGTGGCCTATATTACTAGAGAATTAATAAATGTTGCCAAATGAAATGTTTTTCTTACAATTCTAAGAAAATGAAGTTCATTGGGAAACGCTAAACTTTGGTCTCAAGACCAGTTGGATAATTCACTTCAAACTTCATTAAATTCTCCTTATCTTACTCAAAAAGCTGACTTCATGATTTCTTTTTCAAAGTATGCCTAACAGCCAGAAGAGATAATAGTGTTTGTGATTTTTAAATAGTTATTTCTTCTCTCTCATATCTTTCTGTTGCTGCAACAGTTCCCATTAAATCTCCCCAGTACACAGTTTATCTGTCCAAAGTTAGAGGCAGATGAGGCAGAATTTTTGTATCCATAGAAGAATCATGGGAAAATAATACTGTGTGAGGAAATTTCAAAAAGTTCATGGAAAATGTAATTAAAATGAATTTTTCTGTCCCCCCAAAAAGAAATCTATGTATAGTTTTCCCATAATACACATTTTCTATGAATATGTTGAAGACCCCTTTTGTGTTAAGGGTTGGCTTAATGTGGTGATATATTTATGTTCCATTATCCTTAAATAGATCATTTGCGGATATAGAAATAAAAGTTTTATTACACTTAGAGTCATTTTATAAGATCAATAGTTCATACGATTTACAGAGGTTGGAGGGAACTGTGTTGGACAAAAATAATGCCCTTTCATCCTGGAGGGGGAAAGATGCAGGTTTATTATGCTTACAATAAGCCATGCTAATTATTATTTCTGCAGAGCTTGGTTATTTCTGTCAACATTGGTAACAGTACCAAGAAATTAGTATTTAGCTCCTGGAATATGATAAGCTTTCAATAAACTTTACTACTAATATTTTTATTAGTATTATTACTTTCCTTAGAATATGTTTTTTTTCCCCTAGAGAGTTCTCTATCCCCCAATAGATAAACTTCCTGAACTGATTTGTAAGACCTGTCCCTGAGAAAGCTGATTAAAAGGTATCCTCTCCCCTGTCTAGAATAAACTGAGATGTAAAACCAATAAGGAGAGAGATGGAGATTCAGAATGTTCCCTTATTACCAACAAAGGCTAAGTTGGAATATGCGATTAGTTGAATATGAAAGGAGAATGGACCTGCTCAATCCAGACTATGAGTGCCTCCAAAGATGATGAGTTAAATTTTATATGTAAATCCATGTTCTACCACCATCCCTAAGGGGAGACAACGGTGCTCAAACATTTAAAGTGAGCACGGATAATGGGAAGAGACCATATATCTCTTCTAGGCACAATTTATTGTCTTGCATTCGATAGAAAAAGTTCACACCTCACTATCTTTATGCTAATGAAGAAGTGAGAATATACTTGTCTTAGATATAATTAATTCACCTTGAGCTGTTTTCCTGAAAAGAAATCGAGGCAGGAAGGTGCAATAAGTGCTTCAACGGAGAATTCAAATAAAGAAAGGGGTATTCGACCTGGAGTTCAGGAAACCACTGACAGGAGTGAGCTGATTATCAAATGCACATGGGTGAATGTGGAAACCACTGCTCACTCCGCACAACAGGCTTGGGGGTGATGACAAAACTTGTGAAATATAGTTAATGCCTTAACTTAAAGCAGTGGGTAGAAAAGCTGCCGTAGCCTTATTCTGACCTCTAAGAAAAGAGCTACAGGACAAAATAACAGAAATACATCCTGGCTATTACTTTAACAGAGGAGAGTATTAATGCCTTTTTCCATATTCGCCTCAACTAAGGGAGAAAATATGTTAGATTTGCTCTTTTATGGGGCTTACAACATAGAAAAAATAAATAGAACTACAACTTGAAAGGTAAGTTAATAACAGAAGGAAAATGTTTTGCCACTCTGGAGATCCTGTTATAATGCAGGTATGGGCAGGGTCCCTTATCCTTGGCACTCCAAGGCCACCCAAAAATGTTTAAATATTTTTCAGGAATTGTATAATTGCAGCATTTCATTGAATAATAAGCATTCAAGGAAATGACTGTATTTTTTATAAATTGTTTGGCATTCGTGGACCACCCAGAACCAGATAAAAGGTGCTAAAAGAATAATACGTTTCCTTTGGAAAAGTGAGGAGTACCTACTCCAAACCTCAAGACTGCCACCCACAGATTTCGAGCATGTTTTAAAACGGGTCAGAAACAATGTTTTAATATTAACATTAACATAAATGCAGCTTCTGTCCAAGCAGAGTTTAAAACATACAATTTATAAAAGCTAGCTTTTCAGGCATTTTTGATAAAAAGCATATCCTGCATACCCATCAGCAGATCCTGAGTTCTCTTATTCTGTATCTCTATTTCATTGCAGAGCCCCAGAGAATCTGAGACATGAGAAAGAGGTGACATAAGTAACCTGGGACAGATTTCAAGGATAGTGTAAAGTTAATAGGATTCTCTTGAATAGTAATAATTATCCTTATATATGAATTTCATTTTATTAAAAAGATACCAAGCAAATGACTAGGTGGCATTTTCTATCTTAGAATCACTTACAAGCATCTTATTTAAAAAATCACAATGAGGGGACCAACAGGTGGCATGGTGGTTAAGGTGGCTAGTTCCCACATGGCCAACTACGAGGCCCAGACCCCACAGCTTGGAGAACACACTGGTTGCATGCGTATACATGTCCAGAGTCCTAAGAGGAAAAGGGATTGTGGTATGGCCACTCCTCCTGAGTCGTGCTTTCTTACTTTCCCTCTCTCTCTATCTGCCTCTGTCTGTCTCTGATGAGCAACATTTTTAAAAAGTCACTGCAAGATGCCAGCTTTGCGCAGTGGCAGTATTGTAGCCAATGAGGTTTATCCGAGGCGCGATTATTGCTAATTGAAAAGTCACTGCAAGATACTGTCTTATAAATAGTCTAAAGCCTTTTTCTAAGTTTTTTTTTTTTTTTTCATGACAACAAGAGAGAGATCCTTGACAAGGTCTTACCATGCCACAATCGTCTCCCAGCCTCCCAGCCAGCCAGGATAACAGACGTAAGTGGGCAAACCCTGTATATTTATGTTAACCTGATCCAAATGTGTCTCTCATGTATCTACAGCATTGTGCGACAGTGTGCTTCCACCTACAGCACCATGACTGGTCTATCTGGTCTTAGGCCATGTTAAATTAGATTTATTTTCAAAGCACTTGAATCTTATCTCATTAGAATATAAACCAAATTTGTTATAAAGATTTATTCTTGCGATTAGAAATCTGTTTATTTTGTTACCAAAAAAAATCAATTAAAAAACATGACAAGATTTGTGATGTTGGCGAGAAGATGTTGGCAGCCGACAAAATTGAAACATTATGCTCACGTCCCTGGATACTGTATTTTTATAGGCTGCCTTTCCATCTTTTCTACCTCCCATTCATAAAATGTAAAATGTCAAGCATGAATTTTGAACCTGTACTAGAGACATTTTTCTAGAAATAAATTAGTGTCACCCATTAAATCAAAGAAAGGAAATGAGTGTTCGCCCAATAAATGATTATTTTTAGCTTTTCCTTCGTGCTGAGCCTCTTTTCTTTTTATCCTTGACAACTGAATTCCTAAACACAAAGGTAAAATGAGAAGAAATAGATTCATCTCACCGAGGTACTCTAAGATTTTTCAATCTTGGCATTTTGAGACTTGGAAAATAGCTGTTTGCCTAATTCCAGTTGAAGCAGATGAGCGCAAGAACAAAATATAACAGTGGACAGTGTTCTGAGTCAGTGAAATGTATGGTGGATGTGAGAATAAATGCTGTAAATAAAATGGTAAAGTTTTAGTTATTATTTGAATGTTTCAACAATTGATATTTGGATTACACTTCCTTATTTTTAAAATGCCAGAGTAAAAGTAAATCATATGAGAAAGCCACCAGGTCCAGCACTTAAACCACAGTTGGCCATTTAGGAGTCTAGTGTTTTTTTTTTTTTTTTTTGAGAGGTTTTTTACTATAGGGCGCGTGCGCTCGCCAGACAGACAGAAAGAGACATAGGACAGAAAGCGAGAAATCACCCCCCAGGGAGGATGGTCACGCCGCAATCCCCCCTCCTCCATTCTCCTCTCGGGATCTTGGGCACGAACGCACACGCGCCTGGCGTGAGTTTTAAGTCACCGGGTCTGGGACATGAACCGCGGTCGACTACGTGGGAGTCCAGCGACATAGCCATTACGCTAACTGCTGGTTCCCAGGAGTCTAGTGCTTTAAACCACCACAACACCTGCTGGCCTGATCATGGCTTTCTTGAAGCAGAACTGACAGTCAGAAATATGTTGTGTTCAACTATTTTTTCTCTTTTAATTTATAATTTCTTACATTCATTAACTGTTATGCATTATGTTGGGTATAATATGGATTTTTAAAACATACATGCTGTGTGTGATAATCACATCAAAGATAATACCATATTGGTCTTTTTCAACAAAGAACACCACATTATGATGTGTAGTTAAGTTTTGCCTTAGTAGTTTTTCTTTCTTGTATTTTTGTTATACACACACATCTGTTCTTTTCAGTTGTGGTAGGCTGTTGCACAACCCATTTGCCTCATCTACCTCTATACCATATCGGTTAAATGTTTTATTTTTAAATCTGTTTTTGAAGTTATTGTCTACACTTCAGGGGTCCTATTTAAGAAATCTTTGCCTACTCCAATATCTTCAAGTACTTCCCCTGTGTTTTCTATAAGTCATTTCACGGTCTGAGGTCTTACATTTAGATCTTGATCCATTTTGAGTTGACTTTGCTAATGGTCAGAGAAAGGGGTCTAGCTTAAATTTTCTGCAGCTGGATATCCATTTTTCCCAGTACCATTTGCTGGAAATATTTTCTTTTTTCCACTGAATTATCTTGTGTAGTTTGTCAAAAATCAGTTGGCAGTATTTTGGGGATTTATTTCTGGATTCTCCATTCTGTTCCATTGTTTTGTATGTCTATTTTAGTGCCACTACAAGCTGTTTAGATTATCACAGCTTTGTGATGTATTTTGATGTCAAGTAGTGTGTTACCTCCAACTTTATTCTTTTTTGCACAGTTATCCTTGACAACTGAATTCCTAAACACAAAGGTAAAATGAGAAGAAATAGATTCATCTCACCGAGGTACTCTAAGATTTTTCAATCTTGGCATTTTGAGACTTGGAAAATAGCTGTTTGCCTAATTCCAGTTGAAGCAGATGAGCGCAAGAACAAAATATAACAGTGGACAGTGTTCTGAGTCAGTGAAATGTATGGTGGATGTGAGAATAAATGCTGTAAATAAAATGGTAAAGTTTTAGTTATTATTTGAATGTTTCAACAATTGATATTTGGATTACACTTCCTTATTTTTAAAATGCCAGAGTAAAAGTAAATCATATGAGAAAGCCACCAGGTCCAGCACTTAAACCACAGTTGGCCATTTAGGAGTCTAGTGTTTTTTTTTTTTTTTTTTGAGGGGTTTTTTACTATAGGGGGCGGGCGCCCCCCACAACACCAGACAGACAGAAAGAGACATAGGACAGAAAGCGAGAAATCACCCCCCAGGGAGGATGGTCACGCCGCAATCCCCCCTCCTCCATTCTCCTCTCGGGATCTTGGGCACGAACGCACACGCGCCTGGCGTGAGTTTTAAGTCACCGGGTCTGGGACATGAACCGCGGTCGACTACGTGGGAGTCCAGCGACATAGCCATTACGCTAACTGCTGGTTCCCAGGAGTCTAGTGCTTTAAACCACCACAACACCTGCTGGCCTGATCATGGCTTTCTTGAAGCAGAACTGACAGTCAGAAATATGTTGTGTTCAACTATTTTTTCTCTTTTAATTTATAATTTCTTACATTCATTAACTGTTATGCATTATGTTGGGTATAATATGGATTTTTAAAACATACATGCTGTGTGTGATAATCACATCAAAGATAATACCATATTGGTCTTTTTCAACAAAGAACACCACATTATGATGTGTAGTTAAGTTTTGCCTTAGTAGTTTTTCTTTCTTGTATTTTTGTTATACACACACATCTGTTCTTTTCAGTTGTGGTAGGCTGTTGCACAACCCATTTGCCTCATCTACCTCTATACCATATCGGTTAAATGTTTTATTTTTAAATCTGTTTTTGAAGTTATTGTCTACACTTCAGGGGTCCTATTTAAGAAATCTTTGCCTACTCCAATATCTTCAAGTACTTCCCCTGTGTTTTCTATAAGTCATTTCACGGTCTGAGGTCTTACATTTAGATCTTGATCCATTTTGAGTTGACTTTGCTAATGGTCAGAGAAAGGGGTCTAGCTTAAATTTTCTGCAGCTGGATATCCATTTTTCCCAGTACCATTTGCTGGAAATATTTTCTTTTTTCCACTGAATTATCTTGTGTAGTTTGTCAAAAATCAGTTGGCAGTATTTTGGGGATTTATTTCTGGATTCTCCATTCTGTTCCATTGTTTTGTATGTCTATTTTAGTGCCACTACAAGCTGTTTAGATTATCACAGCTTTGTGATGTATTTTGATGTCAAGTAGTGTGTTACCTCCAACTTTATTCTTTTTTGCACAGTATCAAGTTGGCAATACTGGGTCTTGTATAACTCCAGACCAATTCTATGTGATTTTCTTTTCATTTCTGTGAAGAATGTCACTGGTAATTTAACAGGAATTGTATTGAGTTTAAAATTAATTTGGGTAGAATTGATATTTTAATATTTATTCTTACAGTCCAAGAACAGGAAATGTTTTTCCATTTTTTGGCATCATTTTTCATCTCATTCTTCAGTTTTTCATAGTTTCCCATGTAGAGGTTTTAAACTCTTTGATTAGATTTATTTCTAAGTGTGTATGTGTGTGTGTTTATTGTAAATGAGATTGCTTTCTTTAAGTCTGCCTCAGTCTGTTTATTGTCAGTGAATAAAAATAAGACTAGATTTTAGTGTATGGATTTTGTATATGAAACTTTACTGAATTCATTTATCACTTCTAATTTTGTATGTGTGTATATGTGTGTGGATTCTTTTGAGTTTTCTGTGTACATAATCGTGTCATCTGCAAAGAGGGACAATTTCACTTCTTTTCCTATTCAAATGCCTTTTATTTCACTCTCTTGTCTGATTGGATTGGCCAGGACTTACAAAACTATATTGAAAAAGAGTGGAGAAAGTGGACAATTTTTTCTTGTTCCAGTAATTAGTGAGAAAGCTTTCAACTTTTCCCCATTCAGTATGATGTTAGCTATGGGTTTGTCATAGTGACTTTGTGTTGCAAAATGTATCTTTTATACCTATTTTATTGAGAGTCTTAATCATAAAGGATGTTGTATTTTATCCAATGCTTTTTCTGCATCAACTTTAATATGATGTGTTATAGTTTTTGTTTTGTGTATGTTGAACTATCCTTGCAACTCTGGGACCCTGGGGATAAAGCCTACTTAGTCAAGATGTATAATCTTTTTGTTGTTGTTGTGCTATTGGTTTTAATATGCTAGTATCTTGTGGAGGATTTTTGTATTTATCAGGGATATTAGTCTGTACTTTTCTTTCTTTGTTGTGTCCTTGTCTACTTTTAATATCAGGTGATGAAGCCTTCATCGAATGATTTTGGCAGGGTTTTTTCCATTTGAATCTTTGGAAATATTTTGAGGAGAGTTGATATTAATTCATGTTTACAAGTTTTGTGGAATACAAAAGTAAAGCCATCAGACCCTGGGCTTTTCCTTGTTAGGAAACTTACTGATTTAATCTCATCGCTTGTTATTGCTCTATTCGGGCTTTCTATTCCATCCTGGTTCAATCTAGATATATTGTATATGTCTAGGAATTTGTCCATTTCTTCTTGGTTTTCCAACTTGTTTGCATATAGTCACTTATAGTTTTCTCTAACAATTTTTTAAATTTATGTAGTATCTGTTATTGTTTTTTTCATTTCTGATTTTGTTTATATAGGTCAGTTAATCC